AACCTCTTGTCTTGTGTCCCCCCCCCTGTATGTCATAAGGTCATAAGCCTCCAACCCTTTCCCTCACCTCATCAATACCCACAACAGTTGTGGTCCCGCATATGCACAGGTATGTCAGCGCATAATCTGGCTTTTAACACCGGGCCCAGGAGCAAGGTTACCCAGTGGAACATCAATGATGCTCGACTCTCCTATACGGCAGGTTAGCGGAGGCCACGCTCCCCCCTCGATTATAACAGTCATGTATACCATTCATGCACCTCTTTTGTTTACTGTGACCATACTGTTGAGAATGTTTACTTGATGCACTATGTCTCTTCGCGATGTTTCCCCCGAGTACAAATAAAGAATTTATAAAAAAGAAAAAAGAATCAGTCCAGGGATTTACTAGTACATCACAAGTGTTAAAAAAGATTGCCCTCTGCTGTTAGATATACATATAGGTATATCCAGAAAAGCAACATGCGATGCAGAAATCATAGATAACTAGGGGACAGCTGTAACTTAACTGTTTACTAACCACAACTTTAAAGAAGAACTCCGGGCAGATAAAAACATAACCTTTGCAGTGGGACTAACGCCGCACTGCAAGGGTTATCTGCTCATTTTTTTCTACGGACTAAAATAACAAAGATATACATACTCAAACCTCGCCTGCTAGACCGGTCCCTGCAGCCTCTCTCACCCTCGGTCTCCTCATGTCTAATACACTGTATTGGACGTGAGGACTCACAGGACCTTAGACTGCTGGAGCGGAGGGGGAGAGAGGCTTCAGGGACCCATCTAGCAGCCACAATTATCCGATTAACCGATTAATCGAACTTAATAATCGGCTAACTAATAGATTTTGAAAATAATCGTTAGCTGCAGCTCTACAGTTCATATACACATCACACACGAAACCTCTGTTCCATAAACGTTAAGTGGGTGCAACGGCTGGGCACCATCTCAATGTACAAGTAGAAATATGGACACCGGCACTCCAATATGTCTATTTATTGACGTACATGCGGCATGCCAAAATACACTCAGTGCAACGTTTCAAGGTCTCACAGGATCCCCTTTATCAGGCACAACAAGTGATTCCTGATGAAGGGGATCCTGTGAGACCTTGAAACGTTGCACTGAGTGTATTTTGCCATGCCGCATGTACGTCAATAAATAGACATATTTGGTTTGCCATTGGAGTGCCGGTGTCCATATTTCTACCAGTCTAGCAGCCAGGCAGGACCAAGAAGGCGGGTATATCTTTGTTTATTTTAGACCCTAGACCAAAACAAGCACTTAACCCTTGCAGTGGGTATTATTACTACTACTATTATGGTTGCAACAGTAATAAAAATAACATTTGTGTTATTTGTAGCTTACCTTTCATTCCAGTTTTCATTCCACTCAAGCCTTGCTGAGTAACAGGTCGGTCTGCTACCCTTATCTGTGCTGAAAGCACTCCACTTGCACCCTGTGGCCCACCACGTGTACCAGGTCTGGCAGTGCCAGGTGGCATCTGCAGAAACAAAATCAGTATAAAAAAAATAAAAACAAAATTAAAGTGGACCTTTACCTCCTTTCACTAAAAATGACATCAGCATACAGCTCTTCATGGCGATATTAAATCATCTTACATTCATTAGTTAAATAAACATTGTTGCTTTTAACTACAATTACTGTTTGTGCACTTCCTAGTTGAGTGAGGCACTGGTGATGTAGCCCTGGGCTCACAGATGCATCCTCGGAAGGGTACATCACCAGTGGCTTCCTGAGAGATCTCATCTGTAAACTGCAAAATCTCATGAGATCTCAGGGAAAGGCACTTTTGCCCCTCCACACAATCTTTTTTTTAAAATATAAAATCTATACATAACACTAATTTATGAATCAAGGCTACAGCTGTAGCTTTGATTCATAAATGAATGAAGAGAAGGACTGAGCTGTCACACTGACATCCCGGCACTGCAGATTACCCTGGAAGAGAGTGGCCATTCTGTTGTAAACAACAGAGCTCTGCCCTCACTATGACAGCTGTGCACTGCACTCTATGTATCTAAAGTGTCAGTGCTCCTGGTATAGAGCAAGTGACATCAACAGTGAAGCGCCGTTTGGGAGAGTCATGCTTTCCCAGTGAAATCTGCAGGACTGATCTGTCAGTTTCACTGCTCGGATACACATGGTACACAACACTGCCAGGTTAGGAAGGAGATGTTCCCACCCCAGTTGCACACCCCCAGCAAGTGTGCCTGAGACATGGTGACACTCCCTATCAGAGGCAGGAGATACACATCTCTCTTTGTCCTAGTGACATTAAAGTGAGGGGCAATCAACATTTCACAGTTGTCAAGGGAAATATGTTCTGGTGACAACTGTCTAAGAGAGGATTTTCCCTTACATGGGAGAGATGATGTGTCTCCTAAACAGGAAGTGATGGGACAGAGACAGCAGTGATATCCAGTAATATATACAATGCAATAATTCTCTACCCCAGCTTCATGTTTTTATTTGCCTTACAGAATCAGACAAAATGGACACATTAAAATTTATTCTTGCCCAGAAAAAAAAAAAGCTTCAGAACACTAGGTGGACAACGGGCAAAGTGGACAGTCCAGTATCAATGCTGTACTGCTGTTTGTTCAAATTTAACAAGATATTTTCTTTGAATGATATCACAGCACTATGAAGTATTGTCATATAGAGACTCAATGAGGAGTACTTACACCAGTTGGAAGTCTGCCTGCTGTGGGTGGAACTCTCATTCCAGTTGGAGGTCTATTTGGAATTGAGCCGACGCCTCCCCTTGAGATGGGACGAGCTGATGGTGGCCTTTGACTGCTCGCCATGTTTACAGATGCTGTAGGAACATGAACATAACAAATATTGGTTAATGTGATAGAATGGGTTTTATAAGTAAGCACCGTTATAATAAATACTGAGAGTTCAGATTCATGCATAAGCCCATATCTAATAGGTTCTAGGTAAGAACTCCATTGACTCTACAGGTACAGTTGACAATGGAGGTGCACTGTGTTCACCCTTGAGGCAAAGCTGGCCATACGCCAGGACCCACATTTGTCCTTGGTCATTAAGTCGCACCACACTGGAATGCACGGCATTGTGGTACTGCAAGTTCCGGTGCAAGAGATTAAACTGTGGGAGGGCAGTGTGTTTGGGGTGCCATTCACATGAATGGCAATACAATGCATCATCTGCACCAGAACAAACAATAGGTGCGACTGCGTGGTAGTTTGTGATTAAAACATTGACATGCACACACAACCACAGGCACAATCTCACACACACACATACACATACACACTCCCAAATTTTTTTTAGGGGTTCAGTGTGCACTGCTGTGGTGTGGCGGAGCTCCATCCACAGGGCTTGAAAAATTTGATGGTGTCTCACCAAAAACCCCCGGGGGGGGGGGGGGATTTTTTTTTTTTTAGTATATAATGAAAAAAGTACCATAAATGTTTAAAAAAAAAAGTTTCCCTACCTTATGTTATAAAACATTTATTCTTATCCATATTTGTAGTAAAACATAAAATTCGGGGTCACGTCGGGTAAATAGACACCAAACATGTCAAGCCGTAAAATCGCAAAAAATGCCCATAGGCGACGATTAAAACGCTTTTACTGTTCATCAGTTTATTGTTATCAGTGATTAAAAGGAGAACTATGGGGTCAGGGCTTTTCCCCATAGTTCTCCTTAGGGTAACGGGAGGACACAAACTAGCGTCCTCCTGTCACCCTAAGCTCAGTATAATGCTAGCTACTGCTCGCGGTATACTGAGACGTCGCAACTGAAGCGGATCCCGACAATTATGTCTGGTTCCGCCCAGCTGTGTGACTGACAGCTGGCTCTGCCTATCTAGAGGCAGAGCCAGCTATACGCGCCCCCTCCCCCGTCCGTTCCGCCAGTCAGCGCTGGAGGATCGGAGCGGGGAGGGGGGAATCCAGCCCCTCCCCTGTCACGGCAGAGAGCCGTGACAGGATCGAGAAGTGAGCAAACGCCGGTGAGCGAACGCCGGCTCACTTCCTGATCTACTGAGCCGACCTGTGACAGTCTCATTGTCACAGGTCGGCTAGAACTATGAGGTGAGTGAAAAGCACTCAACTCATAGTTCTCCTTTAGGCTGGGTTCCCACCTAGGTGATCGAAATATGCGCGTATGATGCACGTTTCGGGCCGCGCGTTTTTACCCCTATTAGCGGTCCACGAAACGCGCATCAAATGCGCATTTACGAGGGCTATCCGGCTGTATCTTAATGGATAGGTGCGTAAATACGCCCCAAAGCTCCTGTACTTCTTTGGGCGTAGGGCGTTTTTCAGCGCGTTCCGACGCGCTGAAATACGCCCAGGTGGGAACCATGCCCATAGGAATACTGAACTCCCTTTGATCTCCTGTCACAGAGCCGTGCCGGTCCCGGCCGCATCGGGCACAGCGGATCTCGGGACCGGCAGTGACAGCTGCTAATAAAAGCGATCGAGCGTCTATAGAGACGCGCGATCGCTTGACTGTAAAGCTCCCGGCCGGCCGTGTAATTACAACCGCCGGCCGGGAAGCTGCTCGTCGGGCTCAACCATCCTCTCGTCACAGACGAGTGGATTTTTCAAGCCCTGTCCATCCATATGTGCATTGCTTGTACAGCTTCCTTGCACTCCCTGTAGAGGTGCCAGGGTCCAAAATGTGACGTCACTCCGGTCATGCGAGGGAGCTGTAGGCAATGCACGTATGGATGGAACTCACTCATGGCCATACCCTCAGCCCACACCACCTCAAGCTGACACTCAGCAGCATATTTTGAATCGCTGCTCGGCACGAGAACTGACAGTGCTGCTCGGGGGGGGGG